ACTCCTACTCCCAATAAATATAATTTCAATCAGTTCAGTAGTTTCAGAATTAAAGCTGGACAGACAGACAGACAGAGATACTTTCGCATTTATAATATTAGTATAGATATATAGATATAGGTTTTGTGTTTGTATCGCATCTTCAAACATTTTTAGACTTAATTTTAATTATTTTATTTTATTATATTAATACTCTAGCGAGAAAGAATGGAAAAGAATAAGCAATGGAATAAATAAATAAAGGTCTGATGCAGCTCGACAGAATGTTTTCGTCAGCTAATACTGTTAAGTGCAGTCTGAATTAGGGATGTGCTGACGGTCTATAAAAAAATAAAAATCCCTTCCATCTGTTAGTAAGTATTATTAATGCTTAATATCATACGAAAAATTTAAAAACGGAATAAAACGCGGATATTGTTTCGAACGTCATTTCAAACGTTGTCTTTACAGCTGTTGGTAATGGAGTGTGTACATAAATTTCACGTTTTAAACCGTTTCAATATTTTATTAAATCTTTCAAAGTGAGGTGCTTTTTTGAATAAATCGCCTTTAACGGATTAAACGCGAAATTATTATTTACATTAACTTTACAGCTAGCTAATTGTGTAAATTTCACGTTTTAAACCGTTAAATATCATATATCATTGTTCATTCAAATTTAGATACTTTTTAATAAAACACTTTCAACGGCTTGAAACTCGAAATCAATTTGTTGACTTATAATTTTTTTTTAACTGTGCCTCGACGTTACAGATGCTTTGCAGCAGTCGTGGTCACGGGGAAAGGCAAGTGTTTTTTTTTAAATTGTAACTACTCTCGTAAACTACATACGTACTTAAAGTTATGTATAGTGATATTAATATACAAGTAGTCCATTTATAAACAAACAGAACCTGGCAGGAATTGAATCCGCGACCCGTTCCTTAGACATTGCAACTATAGAAAAGACGAGCCTGTTTTTTTAGTTCGTAAAGTAGTAAGCCGAATGTTCGGTAGATATTCGGATTCGGTCAATTCACGTTCGCTCCATCTCTATTGGAAATGCTTAGAGAGCAATGACAGCTGAACACTACAGATAAGCAGCTTAGCTTCGTTACTAAACTATTTTTGAAATCGCAAAGTCCTGCGCATGTGAGATTTATTTAACGATAACTTTAACGACCCGACGACGACAATATTACGTATTGTTTTACGTATTCAAATACAGGATGTTTCTTAAAAAGTATCTGATTGTTTTTATTCTATTTTTTTAAACACGAATAGAGATTGAGCAGGTGTGAAATTTACGGGATCTTTGTGTCCGATGGTACCTATGTATGACTATTAAATAGAATCTGGGTTCGACCCCCACCTAGTATATTATGTTTCTGATCGTTTAATATATTTTTCTCAAACATTTTAATTAAACACTTTAACGGTTTAAAACGCGATATGTTTCAACTACGGCCCGACGTTTCGGATGCTTTACTGCTGCGTAGCAGTTTACTTTGACGGGCCGTAGTTAAAATAATATTCAAATAAGTCTATCTAATATGTATCGCGTTTTAAACCGTTAAAGTGTTTTATTTAAATGTGTACTAATCGCGTCTACAGAAAGTATCTGATTTGAAATAGGTTGCTCGCAGTGGGGATCGAATCCACGACCCGTTGATTACAAGCTACATGTAGTTTGAATCAGATTTAGAAGCACTAGCAGCGGTCGAAAACTATTTTAATAAAACTAACTTTCAACTTTTAAAATCACGTTTCTGAACATGTATTGGAAGTTAAGGTTTTCAATAACGCAACTTTGCAAGCTTGGCGAGCTCCTCAGTGAATACGTCTCTTGAGATTTTATCAAAGTCACGGGGTTGATATCTACACTAATATATAGAGCTGAAGAGTATGTTTGAACACGCTAATCTCTGGAACTGCTCGTTCGAATTGAAATATTCTTTGAAAACTTTATAATTTTTTACATGTTATTGCACATGGAGGCACTATATAATTTAAAAATCGAAAATAAATTGAAAAAATTTTCAATTTTTAAATGAAATATTCTTATTTCGATTCTCTGATCGTATTTATTTACAGTGTAATTTCTGTGCTCCTGCCGATCGAACAAATATATTGTTTCCCCGGGATTCGAACCCAGGATATCTCGCGCTTAGCAAAGTTCTGGGCGACACGTTTAACCATTCAACTATAAAGGCGGTCGATCTATGACTATAAATCATATAATAATGTTGGTTTTTAATAACTATATTGTAGAGTGTAAATCTTTATTCGTTGGTTTGATCCCCACCCCGTCCAACATTTTTTTAATAAATTTATATTTAAATAAAACACTTTAACGGTTTAAAACGCGATATATTAGTTAAACTTATTTGAAAATGATTTTTAACTTCGGCCCGACGTTTCTGATGCTTTGCAGCAGCCATGGTCAAGGGGAGATCATTTTCAAATAAGTTGAACTAATATATCGCGTTTAAATAAAACCCTTACGTTAAAACGCGTAAACTATAGACAGTATTTAATATATCGCGTTTTAAACCGTTAAAGTGTTTTATTTAAATGTGTACTACTCGCGTAAACTATAGACAGTATTCAATTTATATATTTTTTTTTAAACATATTGTACTTCGTCTGGAAATCTGGATATTCAACGGGTGGTAGAAATATCGAAATCTGTGGATATCCGAATATCCAAAGCCTAAATAGGTCGACAACGCATTTTGTTTAGATGTGGTTTTTCACCTACTATCAAATGACGCCCTCGCTAGTCTGACCTCATCTAAAAAATACCAAGAAAATTTGTTTCAACCTTTTCGCCATAAAAATCTCGAATCCAATTACCCCAGTGTGCGTTCACCTTTATCACTTTTATCGTCCATTATCAACTTTGTAACACATCTCGCAAAGATTATTTCAGCGCTATAAAATGTTTTGCTATAAAACGATTTAGTTGAACGAGATCTCGTAAAATACTACTTTATTGCATGCCTATGTTTTGTATGCCCTCGTAGATCAGTGGTCTTGCGTAGCGTTGTGTTGCGTAACGTTGCGTAGCGTTGCTTAGCTTTGCGTAGTGTTGCTTAGCTATGCGTAGCGTTATGTAGCGTTGCGTTAAGCATGGATTCTAGGGTATCATTAAATTGTTCTACCAGGCATAGAAGGCATAAACTACTTGCCAGTATTTAAAATCGATAATTGAAACGGACACAGAAAAGTACACATATATTGTATTTTTTACGACAGAGAAAGCTCGAGGTTTACTTGATTGAAATCTAAATATAGTCTCCCCGTGACCACGGCTGCTGCAAAGCATCCGAAACGTCGGGCCGAAGTTAAAAATAATTTTCAAATAAGTTTAACTAATATATCGCGTTTTAAACCGTTAAAGTGTTTTATTTATATGTGTACTACTCGCGTAAACTATAGACAGTATTTAATAGAAATAACACAATTTAAATATCACGCGTTGAACAATTTAGCTACGTAGACGGATATATAACTATTCCGCCTTCTGTAGTTCTTGCAAATTAATTATAAAAGATAGACATAGGTATACCGTCACGGATATTTTTTTAGATCATTTATAATTTATAATTCTCGTATCCCGTATTTTTTGGGTATCTCGATCCCACATGAATGAAAAAAAATGTCTACGTAGCAATTTTTTACTTTGACCTCAGAGACGTCCTCCATCTTTAGTCTCCCCGTGACCACGGCTGCTGCAAAGCATCCGAAACGTCGGGCCGAAGTTAAAAATCATTTTCAAATAAGTTTAACTAATATATCGCGTTTTAAACCGTTAAAGTGTTTTATTTAAATGTGTACTACTCGCGAAAAAAATGTCCCGGTTTTTTTTCAAAATTTCCCATTGTCCTCCTAATGATCGCAGCGTAAAGCCTTCCTCCATAAATTGTCGAATCAACACAAAGTACCTTTTTAATTCGAACCCGTAGTTTCTGACTACTTGTTTAAATAAAAAAATAACTGGTTTAAATTAAAATAAATTATATTATATACTGTCTATAGTTTACGCGAGTAGTACACATTTATATAAAACATTTTAACGGTTTAAAACGCGATATATTAGTTAAACTTCCGTCTCCCCGTGACCACGGCTGCTGCAAAGAATCCGAAACGTCGGGCCGAAGTTAAAAATCATTTTCAAATAAGTTTAACTAATATATCGCATTTTAAACCGTTAAAGTGTTTTATTTAAATTATATTATTTTAAATTGAAACCTAGATTTTTATCTCCGATATTGTTCGTTCACGTTCTGTGATACCTAATATTAATGACGTATACGTAACTTCGTTTGATACTGAAATCTGAGGAGACCCCAATTATCTCGCCTAGATCGTTCCTAAATATACAAAGAGCGTTTTTCTCGTGTCAAGGCCGAAATGGACACTAATTACCTCTAATGTCCATTACACAGTGGATGAGTCCCTAAAACGAAGTGTAGAGACCATTTACTAAAAGTATTTTGCACACGAAATTATTAGGCTGCGGTCGTATATAACGGCGTTGGTTAGCATAGCGTTATATTTCACCTACGATCAAGTAAATCCCCATGCTTCCCTGTCTTCCTCTGTCATTAAAAAAATGTATATAAGAAAAACACTAACGGTTTAAAACACGATATATTAGTTAAACTTCTTTGAAATTTACCTTTACTACGGTCCGACTTGCAGAAGCCGTGGTCACTATATAATAATTATATATGTCGCGTTTTAAACCGTTAAAGTGTTTTATTTAAATATGCACTCGCGTTAACTACAGACAGTGTTTAAATGTATAGGGTTTAAATGTGTTTTCAGTTTTTTACGACTACCTTCATCGTCCTTGCTGGTTGTCACAGCCGGCAGTGAGTTTTAGAGGCACAGGAGGTTTAATTATAGGGGAGGACAGACAAAACATAACATGCTGAAAGATGCCAAGATACCACGAACGCCATGATTGTCTTTTCTCTATCTTAAATAAATAGCTTGTTTTAAGCCGTTAAATGTTAAATTTTATCTTGCATGCATGGTGTAACAACCAGGCATGCAAAATTAGTAGCTCCAACTTGACGGGCTAGTTGGCGAATCATCAACCGGACGTGAGTTCCACTCCCATCTGTTTCTGAAACATGTTGAGCCTCTGTATAGACAGACTATAGAGTTACGCGAGTAGTACACATATAATACACTTTAACGGTTTAAAACGCGATATGTTAGCGTCGGGCCGGAATTAAAAATCATTTTCAAATAACTTTAACTAATATATCGCGTTTTAAACCGTTAAAGTGTATTATTTAAATTTTGGACTTCGTCTGGAAATCTGGATATTAAATGGGTGGTAGGAATATCAAAAATTCCGAACGGAAGTTTCCGAATTTGAAAAGCCAAAATAGGTCCATAGCACATCTTGTTTATATGTCATATGGATGCGGTATCTAGTTAACCTCACGCTCGTCTATCCACATTAAAAAATGGCCGTGTTAATTTCTTGTTTCAACCCGTCAAATGCCATCATGAATATTGTAACACACCAGACATGTAAAATTGGCATTTCAAATTCGCCAACAGCACGTTCCAAGATCCCAATTTCGTGGTACATTAACATTATGGCGTAATAACCGTTTTCTTTCAGTGTTATATGTGGTATATATCACAGACCTGTGTTTCGGAGACGATGTAATCGCGTTCAGCCCGATTTCTATTAAGTTAAGTATTATTATGTTTGGGGAATCATTTTGAACGACGCGCGCGCATTTCAATTTAATGTTACGCCTGTAAACACGTGTACAGATATAGATAAAAACCCCGTGACCGCGACTGCTGTAATTTATATCGCGTTTTAAACCGTTAAAGGGTTCTATATAAATTAAGCCTGACGTTAAAGCGTGTGCAGATATAGATAAAAATACTTAACGGTTTAAAATGAGACATTATTTCACATATAATAAAAAAATACAATACCAATACAACAATAAAGGAGAAATGTTGGAAAGCATCCGAAACGTTTGGCCGTAGTTAAGACAAATTGTAAATAAGTATTATATTGATTGTAATAAGTATAATTATTGGGAATATTTCGCTTTTTAAACGGTTTAAAAGTGTTTTATTTAACAAGGAACTACTGCGTAAACTACAGACAGTACTTAGTGGAACATTAACCAGTTCAAACAAAGTTATTTATCATCATCAACTTCATCATCGCCATCATCAAGAGATCGTTATCAAAACTAAGCTCGTAAATAGTAAAGTAGTCTTACTTACGTAAAATACAGCGTCGGGCCCGTCGCAGAGGCGGGCCCGCACAAACACTCGACTCTTCAACACTCTTCTAGAAAATAGATGCACTTTCTGAAATTAAAAAAAGAATTAAAAGATATTTACTTAAAGATTCAAATATCATTATTGTTTGAATTATTATGGCCTTTAAATAAAACACTTTAACGATTTAAAACGTGATATATTAGTTAAACTTATTTGAAAATGATTTTTAACTTCGGTCCGACGTTTCGGATACTTTGCAGCAAGCTGTCACGGGGAGACACGTGACCAGACCACGAAACGTCGGCCGTGGTTACAAATAGTTTCAGTGTTTACAAACATCGCGTTTAACCGTTAAAGTGTTTTATTTAAATGTTTACTACTTGCAAAATTACGTACTTATTATGGACTTATCTACACTACTATATAAAGCTGAAGAGTTTGTTTGAACGCGCTAATCAAGAACATTGGTTCGCTTGTATTGTTTTTGTATTGGTTGGACATTGAGCTATAGTAAAGCAACTGAACGAATCGGCTATCAGGAAGAATGTTTGACTGAATTAACCCATGGTTTCGATCTCGTGAAAACGGTTCAAGATACCCAAGCGCGGGGGGGGGGGGGGGGGGGGGGGGGGGGAACTATTTGTACGAATGATTTTTATCTTTTGGGTTCCCTAAAAGAAAACCTAAAGACAAATAAAATTAATTCATCAAATATATACGATTCTTATCGCAACATATCAAGAAATACACATTACAAATCAAAGAGTTGAGTGTCTGTCTGTACCTAATGCAAAAGTAAACCTTTTTGTTGTTTTAAACACGAAACATAACCACGGCCTCTTGCCAAGCTTCCGAAACGTCGAATGTCAATAAATGCGTATAACTAATATAATTCGCGTTTTAAACCTTTAAAAATATTTTATTTTGTATGAATTGGGTTTTATAAATGGAACTGTCAGGATTTAGTAATAAAAGATACCAAGTTTATCCGTTATTTTCGTATCCATTCCGAATATAAATAACTACCCTTCCTCATTTTTAGCTAAGAAGCCTTCCAAATTCCATATTTAAAATTCTCTGTGTATCCCGATAAATACACAAAAGAAATTTGACAACATCAAACACAACGTTGAAAGCTTTATTATTTCGCGTAAAAAGATGAAAGGGAACCGAAATTAATTTTGACGAAATCTTAAAGAGGCAAGTGTTATTCAAATAAAACACCTTTAACGGTTTAAAACGCAAAATGTATTATAGTTAACCCATTTACAATTCAATTCTAACTACTGCCCGCCGTGCCGTATGCTTTGCACCCTGGGTCACGGGGGAACATCGGGCCACAGTTAACCTACGGACATTTGGCATTCCCACCACACATTTGACAACAAACAATTTAACGGTTTAAAACGCGAAATATTTACAATTCATTTTATTTACAGCCCAAAGCAGAGCATCCGTGTTAACTAATGTATTTCATGTTTGGAACCGTTAAAAGAGTTTTATTTAAGTGTTTACTACTTGCGTTAAGTAACAAACAACAAAGTCAAACAATTTTCGAAAACGATATAAATTGATTAGAGACATTTTAGATCCGGAGGGGAACGAACCCGAGATAACTTGTTTACTAACCATATATGCTCCTATTATAGGGGCTATGGGTAATAATCAACGGGTCGGATCCCCATCGGGTTCGACATGTATTTAAACAATTTATATATATTTTTAAACATGTACTGAGTTTGGAAATCTGGATATTAATATCATATGGATTCCGTTATTACAGATCGTGAAGTTTAATGGCGTTTCGGTTACAGTCTGTGGGTTACCAAATCTCCGAAGCCGAAATGAGTCGACAGCGTATCATGTTGAACTATTACGTGAACCCTGTCTGTTGTAAAAGCTTGTCTGTTCTCCTCAATCATAAAAGATAGGCCAACTTCCTTTAATTCTTTCCTTCTTATTTCTTTCCCCACAGATAACGTCGTGGATGTCAGTCTATGTAAACGAGACAAAGAGTTATAAAGACGTCTGCAGATAAGCTGAGAGAAAGCTTTCAAATCGCGCTCCGCTTATGAGACGTCGTTTGTTAAAACACTTGAAAAGACGACGGAATATTAAATGCGGGGCAAAATAAAAATTCACATGACGACGGCTAAATTTTAGGTTTGTGTCATTTGTGGGTTTAAGATTTTTAATTTTAGCGTTACTTGTTTTATGAACACGTAAGTATGGTTTGAATTTACACTTTAACGGTTTAAAGCGAGATATATTAGTTAAACTTGTTTATTTAATTTAATAAAATTGTCTCCCCGTGACCACGGCTGCTGCAAAGCATCCGAAACGTCGGGCCGAAGTTAAAAATCGTTTTCAAATAATTTTAACTAATATATCGCGTTTTAAACCGTTAAAGTGTTTTTTTTATGTGTAGGTACTACTCGCGTAAATTATAGACATGACAACATCTAAACATGATAGGCTGTCGACCTATTTTGACTTGATAGACTGAAACCAAAACGCGATTAATCTTGACGGCTTTGTCATCAATGGACTTGTATCAAACTCTTAAAGACCCACCCTGTTCCGCCAAATACCAACCACGACGCAAGAGATGGCGCTAGTGTGGCACTTTTTACTTTGACATTAGAGAGACCACTTTTATTCTCCCATTCTTGCCTGCTTTAAATTTGCTGTTAAAACGCCAATTAAAAAAGTTAAAAAGTTTAACTTACATAGTTAATTCCCAGTCTAAGCCGTTAATATTGGGTTATATTATCTACTTACTAACCCGGCTAACGTTATTTTACTATGTGTATATTTCGTGTTTTGTGTTCGAGTAGTAACCCTCATTTACCTAGATCATCATTTGGCCTTACTTATTCCACAATTCCCTCAATATTTCCCCTCCTCATGGTCACAGCGTGACGTTTTATAGTCTAAAACCTTCCTCAATAAATATTCTAACTAACACATGAATAAATTTTCAATTCGAATCACGTTCGTTTTTGAGATTAGCGCGTTCAAACAAACCCTTCAGCTCCGGCTAACAAATCGAGGTAGTCGATGAAGGTTTTGTTCCTTATAAACAAAGATCAAGACTTATTTATCTTGTATACGTAACAAGTAGGTAATATACTGAATGGCTGCTTTTATTCCCTTTGTATTATATCTCAGCTTTTGCAGGCTGCAGCCGTTGGCGCGACGCCAGTTAGAACACAGTCCAAGTCACGAGCGATGGCGTTTTTATAAATATCAAATTCAAAAATAGAAATAAAGTAAGGAAAAATCGAAATCTTAAAATCGAAAATTTGGTTATTTATTTTCTAATTTAGTTCAGCTACGGGCAAACGTTTCAGATACTTTGTAGCAGCCGAGGTCACGGGGGATTGTAATTAGAGAGTGTCCCGAATGCCAAGTCAAATCTGCTACTCATTTATGATTCGCGGCCAATTGTGGCCTACAGCGGACGTTGTTTGGAAAATATTTTTGAAATTACTTCTTCAAACATTGCAAATCTACTTTTTATTTCTTTATTTTAATGATATTATATTTTACAATTGTTGGCTTTGTGCGAAATCCCGTTTCCCCCTCGTGGAACATGGGGCGAACACATTTCTGAGTCCGTTTCACTGATCCGTTCTTTAACAGGCAAGTAGTGGATCAGACTTCTGTGCCCTGCCTGACCGAAACAATTGGTTGTTTCCCTGGGATTCTAATCCAAGACCTCTCGCGCCTAACGCAATGTTAGGCAATACGTTGAACCGTTTCGGCCTCTACAATAGACGGCGGACTCAGAAGGAATTTGGATATTCTTAGCACTAATAAGCCGACAACGCATCTTGTTTAGATGCTATATGGTTAGGTTATTTCACCTACCAAGTAAATCCGATGCTTGTTATAGAAAAATGTGATTTAAAAGCGAATATTACCCGGAGCATTTTCCAGTGTTAGCATACATCCCGCTTAAGTTTGCAAATTGGGCCGAACAATAAGAAATTTGTGTACATAACAATATGTTACTTGTCAGCGACTTATAGAGTTTAAATTTAATAAATTTAACTTAAAACTTATGACGCTACCTTGCATTTTCCCCGCATTTCGGATGCATTTACATTTTTAAAGAGCTCTTGTGATGTTGCTTGATGTATTGCCACTATTATTGTGATAGTATGACCCGACAAACATTTTTCCATATAAATAATTTCTATGAAACTTCTCGTTTATATGCATGGGGCGCTGAGAACGCTGATAACATAAAAAACTAACAAAACATCAGTTTGTGGACACCGTTCGAGGCCTTGGGGGGATAACCTACTGAGTTATATATTTTTTTTAATCATAGAGGACTTGATGGTAGGTGATATAACCCAGCCTATAGCGTATAAATAAGATGAGCTGTCGGCCTAATTTGACTTTGGATATTCGGAAATCCACATACTAACCGAAACGCGATTAAATTTCACACGGAATGTAGATATTCTTACATTCATTAAATATTCAGATTTTCAACATGTTTGAGAAAAATTATAAATTAAGAAATTAGAAACATGAAAATAAAACACTTTAACGGTTTAAAACGCGACATGATTAGTTAAATCCATTTTGAACTACGGCTGACGTTTATACTGACGTTTATACGAAACTGAAGACCGGCTCTATAGTCAAATGTTAAACGTATTGCCTAGAATGCGTTAAGCGCGAGAGGTCCTGGGTTCGAAGCCCTGGGAAACAAAACATTGTTTCAGTCAGGCAGGGCACAGGAGTCTGACCAACTACTTGCCTGTTAAAGAGCGGAACAGTGAAACGGACTCAGAAATGTATTCACCCTATGTCCCACGGAAAAGGGTTTTCACTTTTACGGCCCCACGTTTTTTAAAGTGTAGTTAAAGTGTTTTATTCAAATGGAGAATTTCACCATCCATGAAGTAACCCCCACGGCTGTCCTTTATCACAAAAACAGTATCTCCATTCCATCTATCGAAGCACTCTTCAGCAACAGTTCAATCACAATTATCTTAAAGAAAGTGGGAATTAAATCCGGGAGAGAAAAGGATCCGATTTCGTTTGTAGAGCCTTCAACGACATGCCTA